GATGTTTTGCTCAAAAACGAAAATTTTGTATGGAAGTTACCACTCAATTGTATTGAAATTTCTTCAAACTTTCAGAATGTTAGGTTTTTGTGAAAAAAATAACCTCTGCAAATTTTCACATGATTACGATATCATACTCACAGAAAAATTGGAGGCGGTTTTTCCGCAAATTATTGTAGCAACAGCAGAGCTGCAATAAAAATGTGTCTCTTGTAGCTCATTTTGACAGCTACGTACAAGTGTGTGTGTTCTGACATTTTATATGTATAAACTAAAAAACCAATGTGATGTTAATAGAACATTTTAATATTTATTTTTTAAATAATTTTAGAAATGTCATTTTGACAATTTAAATTCGTGATTTCAGAGATGAAAAAAGTGTGAAGAATTATTTTCCACCGAAATTTTCAACCAAATTCGACACAATTGCTCTGCACAAAAACAAGCCGAGATTCTGGAATCAAGATAATCATTAGCTTACCGAACTAAATGGCAGGATTTTTTAACTTGTAAATATACGAAAAAAAGGAGTTGCGTATTTAGTACGAATTAGCACAAAATCATATGGCATTTTACATTGTCACATCACTGACGTTGATGTCTGAAAACTAAACTCGGATTCTGGAATCAAATTCTTTAAATCCTACACTGACAAAACTAAGGTTATGATTTTGACAACACCGTGTTGTAAATGCTTACATTCCAACAAATTGTTGTCGTTGTGAATACATATAATATATGCCATTGTACGTATTCACAATGACAACAATTGTTGGCTACTTCACAACATTCGTTGGAATGTAAGCATTTACAACACGGTGTTGTCAAAATCATAACCTTAGTTTTGTCAGTGTAAGATTATACTCGTATACACTCATCTCTGAAATTAAGATTTAAAAATGTCAAAGCGACATCACTATTAATTTTAAAAAGTAATGAATATCAAATTTTTTTCGTATATTTACAAGTTAAAAAATCCTGCCATTTAGTTCGGTAAGCTAATGATTATCTTGATTCCAGAATCTCGGCTTGTTTTTGTGCAGAGCAATTGTGTCGAATTTGGTTGAAAATAATTCTTCACACTTTTTTCATCTCTGAAATCACGAATTTAAATTGTCAATAAAATGTCTTACATCCGTAAGATGAACTTTTCCGCACTGTGATCCACAACATGCATTTATTACGTATCTTTTACCGTCAATATGAATTCATGAGAAAACTGAATCTGATATAAGTTTTGCGATACAAATAATTTTTGAACGACTTTTCAATGCCTGTATGATTTCGTAATCATGTGAAAATTTGCAGATGTTATTTTTTTCACAAAAAGCGAACATTCTGAAAGTTTGAAGAAATTTCAATACAATTGAGTTTTCATACAAAATTTTCGTTTTTGAGCAAAAAATCCAAAATTTTGTTCGGGAGGTACCCCTAATTTGCATTGAAATCTCTTCAAACTCTCGAAATGTTATTTTTGCGTGAAAAAAATAACCTGTGCAAAGTTTCAGCTCATTACGATATCATACAGGCATGGCTTCCATACAAAAATCCAAATTTTTTGAATTTTTTGTATGAAAAGTGTTTCGAAAGTTGATTGTATCGCAAAACTAACGTCATATTCGGTTTTCTCGTACCCAAAAACTCCCCAATACATATTTTTGGATGTTTAAGAATACATTAAATATCACTTTTGGAAGAAAAATTGAATTTTTTCCATGGATGGCCATGGGCATCACACCAAAGTCGCTGAAAATCTAATGGTTTTTATTCCTCGGCACATCCTGTGAAGTCAGATTTTGAATTACTTTTCTTGTTTGAAAGTTATCGTGTTAACAAATTTTTGCGTACAGGGTACAGGGTACGCACATACATTCGGACATCGAAAAATTGACTGATTCGTGTTCCCTGGCTCCTAAAACACCCAGAAAACATGTTTTTTGAGGGTGTTAATTTTTCGACCGATTCCTATACTTTACCTTACACACTGGGTGTGTGCGGAAAAGTAAAATGACATTTCTAAAATTATTTAAAAAATAAATATTAAAATGTTTTATTAACATCACATTGGTTTTTTTAGTTTATACAGATGCTACAAATAATGTAAAATGTCAAAACACACACACTTATACGTAGCTGTCAAAATAAGCTACAAGAAACACATTTTTATTGCAGCTCTGCTGTTGCTACAATAATTTGCGGAAAAACCGCCTCCACTTTTTCTGTGAGTACAGGAATTGAAAAGTCGTTCAAAAATTATTTGTATCGCAAAACTTATATCAGATTCAGTTTTCTCATGAATTCATATTCACGGTAAAAGATACGTAATAAATGCATGTTGTGGATCACAGTGCGGAAAAGTTCATCTTACGGATGTAGGACATTTTATTTACCTCTTAGATGCACTAGGTGAACCGGTGCCATTGGGAGCCGAAGGAGAACGTGAATCATTAATTTTATGTGGACAAAATGTTATAACTTTGTTTCTCATCATTTTTAAAAGATAATTTTTTATTCTCGTTTTTTTTCGATTTTGAAGCATTGTTCACAAATAATATCTGATGAAGTTAAATTTTCTTTTCGATGTAAAAATTCTATTGTGTGTTTCCATTGTACACACCAATGCTGATCAATATTCCATCAATCATTACACTTCCCATGTTTTTTCCAATTTTCTTATTGTTACTTCAATTCTATCGTATTTAAACAAAATCAATATTCAAACAAAAACATCAAGTAATGTTCCGAGTAACTTATTGAGTAGTTCAGAGTATTAGTGTGTGTGTTTGATTGTGTGTATGTGAGTGGTTGATTGAGAGAGTGAAGGATCCTGTTAAAACGTGTTCGAGTTCCTGATGAAAGTGTTTGAGTATGAGATGGTTCATAACATGATCAATTGATCCAAACCTATTTTTTAGAATATTTAGTCCATTTGTATTTTTGTATAACTGAAAATGTATATTCAAAAAAAAACATTATCTTCTCTTTTCCATAAAATCAATTGATTAGATCGATTGAAAATAGAATTCAATATTTATTATAAAACTTATTTATTTTTTTAAAATATAATGTGAAAATATATAATATCGAGCAATGAATGGTCAGATGAGAAAATGATCAGTGTGTCTCAACTGTCAAAGTAGCGACATCACCAATTTGTCAGAATAGTGCCACCAGTCGATCTGTCAAAGTAGCGTCACCACACAGCTGTCAATCTGATAAGCTATCAAAAAAACCAACTTGACAGGAGCTGTCAAAAAAATCCAAAATGGCGGTCCGAGCGTACTACCATACTACTACGATATCGTGGAAAGCGATGAAATAGAATCAAACGAAGCAAAAAATATTTGTAATCTATTCAAACAATATTTTATTGCTCATGTCGGCGAAGTTTCACTCGCACATCACTCAAAGCTACAACATCCAAACCAAAATCATTCGCTCTCTTTAACAATTCAAACTTCTTCGACTCAAAACCTCCTCTCAAATTCAAAGTTCCAATATTCAAAGCGGTCTTCAACTGTGGAGCTCCGGTCGGGTCCCGGGGAGGATGAGCTCCGTGGCCTCCCCTCGTCCGAGGCCCATCGTTTCGATTTCGAGCGAGTTAAAGGGTTTAAGGCGTGCTAAGCCACACTGCACTCGAAAACCACCCGATATTGTCGAAACGAAACAGCCATGGAATCGATCAAATCCAAAAACATCTCAAAAATTACAACAATAAACTCAACCAAATTTTAGCAAATAACGAACAAACCATAAAGAAGACCATGAATAAACCATAATGAAGACCATGTGAAGAGACCGGCAAAAACAGTAAAAATGACTCGCCAACAATACCACGAATTAAGTAAAATAATATAAAATTAACAGCGAACGAAGAATAAATTAAAAAACGCGACCAGCTTCTGTAACGTCCGAGTTGTTTGGAATGAAAAAACTTGTTTTTTTGGTATTTTTTCGAAGATACTTTTATTTAATATATATTGTTTATGTTCCGACACGAGTTCTTTTTAGATCAATTTTTTTATCTAGATCAGATTTGAGATCAAAATCTTAGATTTTTGATCTCAGTGTATCTAAGCTTTTATATTTATCTCAGATCGAGATAAATCTAGATTAATCTCAAATCTGATCTGAAATATACTTTTAAATTCAATTCCAAATGGGACTTGGGTAAACCACAGGCTGGCTAATTTGGGACGTTTTCAGATTAAGCCGACTGAGATCGAAGTCATTTTAAGTCGATTTATTTGACTTTATTTGACTATATTAATATAGCTAAAATCGACTTTAATCATAATTGACTGTATAGTCGTCTAACGCCCCAAATAAGTCGTCTGGTTAAATAGACGACTAAAGTCGACTAGGTAGTCGGTTTTAGCTAACAAAATTCATTTTTAGTTGATTTCAGCTAGTCAGTCAGTCACTTTTCTTCCACACGGGTGTAAATCGAAATTATTTTCAAAGCATGTTTGGTTACAGCTATGTTTGGTTGCAGTAACTTGAATCGCCGTGAAAACTTGTGAATATTATTTTCTTAACAATCTCACAAAGTTTAAAGAAATTTCAATCAAAAATATAGCTCAATATATGGCTCATAACCGAAAATTTTATATGGGAGGTATCCCTAATATGCATTGAAATTTCTTTAAACTCTTGAAAAGTAATTTTCTTGTGGAAAAAACAACCTGTGTAAAGTTTCATGTCATTACGCTACCACAAAGGCATGGCTCCATACAAAAATATTTTTTTTGTGAATTTTTGTATGATAAGTCTGTGAAAAATTGATTGCATCTTAAAACTAACGTCATATTCGGCCCGAATCAGAAAAGAATGCTTTTGGGTTAAGCTTGTAAATCTTAGATATCTCTCGTTAGATACAGATTTTTGTATCCAGATCCAGATAGATTAGATTTATTATACCTTTTTTCTATTGATCTAAGATCAGATTTAGATTTGATCTATCTAGAAATCTATCTAAAAAATCTCAAGATTTTTAATCTACTCGAAACACTGGACACGACTGACTCGTTGCTTCTCATGCGAACCCTTATATAGAGAGACTCTTATGTCTTATCTCTCTATCGATTTATCGGTTATCGATAGAGAGTGGGTGATACGTGTGAGGTGATGTATGCGTGTGCTGGCATGACGTCATGTATGTATGAATGGGTGCGTATGATAAGAATGTGTAGACGAGAGCGTAATGCCGAACGGGTTACACTTCAAAACGACAATATTACGGCTATAAAAGTACAATGAACGTCAATTGGAAATTTAAACACCAACTTTGATGAAGTCAAAAACAATGAACCTGAAAATTGATTTATATTTTGATTCATATTTTAAATTAATCACTACATTTAACTGAATTATGATTAAATTTTGAATAAAATGCCAAATCACATCAAGACAAATAGATTTGCCATGAAAATCTGGTCAAACTTGAAAAAAAAAAAACAAATTTTCTTCAAAAAATCGACTTTCGTGAGGTCTTGCGGCACGGGTAAATGAATTCCGATTTGGATGAAACTCTACATGCATAATCTATGAGCCAGATAGAACAAATGAAGAAGGTGAGATCATTGAAATTCCATAAAGTACGTAATTCATGACAACTCTATTCTTTATTTTACAAATTACAATCTGAACATTTTATAACGCACACATTTTTTAAAATTTTTGATTGTATTTTTTTTGTTATATTTAATCTAATTTACCGCCCTTCATTAATTAGTTATTAGTTTTGGCCGTGAATGAATTTCATAATGAAACATGTGGAATCCAAAAGAAATACGAAAAATTTCACTTAAGTTGAATAAATAAATTAACAATGGCAACGTTCATTGAATATAGATGTTTTTACATTTTCATTTTCTGTGCACTTTCTAGAATTACAATTACATTTTAGAAGTGATTTCCTTCACGTAGTTTCCGTTTTAGATGTCTCAGATGACAGAAGTGACTGAGTTATTTTTCTTCCCAATGAAGTTCGATTTTTGCGATCTGCCATTATTGAGGAATGAGTACCATTTACAGGAACGACGTGCAACCTTGGAAGATTGTAAATTTCCCATCCCATTTTTGGACGATTAAAAAATTCTTTGACTTCATCATTGTACATGTGTACATTTTTGTCAAGGAACTCATTACCAATACGTGAGTCATCAAATTCCGTTGCCTTAAATAGGTTTACTGTAGTCGGTAGTGTCTTTATATCGTATACATCGCATATAGTTTTGTAGTGAGTTCGTTGTTTCATTATCAATCCTTCCCAATTGATATCTTCATTTTTCAAATCAACATTCTTTTGTTTAACTTCTTCGATAGCTTCATTCAGAGGCAATTCAATGACACGCTCCCACCACTTTGTATCATTCAACGATTTGAAAAATGGAGATTTCCGTACAATAAAGGTCAAAAACACCTCGGTTTCATTAAGTGTACCACAGGCGTAAGGAGGATACGTATCAATTAAACCCGTAAACGCAACAGGATAGCCACCGTTTATAAGTTGATTTGTTATTTCATAGGCTAGAATACCCCCAGACGAGTAACCAGCTACAGCACAAGGGCCATTCGGCCGTACTTTCTTTATTAGCGAAATCATTGTATTGGCCATTTCTTCTATAGACGAGGGCTGTTCTTTTTCAGGCGACGACCATGGTAAAACATAAACCGGAAAACTTTTATCAATTTCGTGTGCTATTTCAAAAGCATGAGAAATATCTCCATCGCCACTGGGAAGAAGAAATATAGGCGTCCGATCGCCATAGCGACGAGCTGGTATAGCAACATCTGAATACAATCTGTCGGAAGAATTGGTCATTTTTTCCGCTAAGTCTTTGAGTATTGGAAAGGAAAATAATGCCCGAGCACTGACGTGTATATCATAATGCTTTTTGATAAGATTTACGAATTGCATAACTAACAGCGAGTGGCCACCCAGCTCAAAGAAATGGTCATTTCGGCTGATGCATTCAATGCCAAGTATTTCACTCCAAATTTCGGCAAGTTTTTCTTCCATTTCACCCTGTGGTGATTCATACATTTGATGAGCAAATGCTTCATCGTCCGGTACTGGAAGTGCGTGTCGGTCTAATTTGCCATTTGGTGTGAATGGTAATGATGTTAGACACACATATGCTGCTGGCACCATATAACCAGGCAATAGAGATGTTAGATATGTACGTAGATTGTTAGCAAAAGATTCATCTGGGTCGGCTACAACATAGGCAACCAGACGGGCATCACTATCGGATCTGTCCTTCCATGGTTGTACAACTGCTTCGCGCACCGAAGGATGTTGCACTAAACGGGCCACAATTTCGCTGGGCTCGATTCGAAAACCACGGATTTTAACCTGTTGATCAGTACGTCCCAGATATACTAGATTTCCATCTGGCAGATAACGTGCCAGATCACCAGTGCGGTACATACGTGCTGTTGCATTTTCACTGAATGGATCGAACAGAAAACGTTCCGCCGTAAGTTCGGGTCGGTTGAGGTAGCCACGGGCCACACCAGCACCACCAATATACAGTTCTCCTTCGGCTCCTAATGGCACCGGTTCACCATGTGAATCCAACAGATAAATGCGTATATTTGATAATGGACGACCGATTGGTAATGAATTGCTTTCCAAATCAATTGGACATGACCAAATGGTCGCACATATGGTTGCCTCAGTTGGACCGTAAGCATTGAAGACTGCAGTGTGTATAACGGCAGATTTTAGCAATGATAACGATGGTGTTTCGCCAGCTAAAATCAAAGCTTGCAAGCCAGTTAAATCGATAAGATTTTGTGTGTTTCGGAACAAAGCCGGCGGTAAAGTTGCATGGGTAATCTTTTCGGTATTAATATATCCAATCAAGGAAAGGTCCGTTTGGCGTACTTCATCATTTGGTATGCAAAGACAGGCTCCGTTTGTTAAAGCTGTTAGGATTTCGTAAGCACTAGCATCAAAACAGCAAGAAGCAAACTGTAAAATGCGGCTCTTCAGAGATACATCAAAAATGAAAGCTACACTTCGAACTAAATTTATGAGAGACTGATGCTCTACCATCACCCCTTTCGGTCTTCCGGTAGAACCAGAAGTATAAATGATATATGCCAAATGAGATGAAGTTAGACCGAGTTTTAAGGGATCCGGGTTATCACTTGGAAGGCCATCGGGTAACATATGATCCAAATTTAGCACAGACACATGATGATCTCCAAGTACTTTTTGACCAGTGGCATCTGCCAACAAAAAGAATGGATCCGCATCCACCAAAATATTTTGTAGCTGTTGACTGGAGTAGATCGGGTCGAGTGGTACATAAGCGGCACCTGCTTTCAAAATGCCTAATATAGCTACGATCATTTTTGTGCTGCGTTTAACACAAAGTGCGATGAGATCATCTGGCTTAACTCCTCGCCTGATCAAATGATGGGCCAATCGGTTAGCTTGTGCATTGAGTTCTGCATAACTGAAGGTCTCTCCTTCAAATTCCACAGCTATGGTCTGTCCGCTCTGCTCTACTTGTGACTCAAATAATTGATGAAGACAACAAACAGGTGGATAATTGACTACCGTTTGATTCCAACTATGCAATAGCAACTCTCGTTCTTCGCGCGGCATCACTGTCAATGTTCGTACAGGTTGCTGTGGTTTTAGAGTTAATGCATCTGCGAGAGAAGCGAGGGCCTGATGCATATAACCACAAATCCTTGCTGCCGAGAGCGGCGACGCCACATAAGCTATGAGACTGAGTAAATTTTCATCATCGTCCAGTGCCAGGTTTATTGGGTAAGTTGCTCGCCCTTCGCTACTGAGAATATTCACTCCAGCGCGTGGTTCGACGGTTTGCTTGGTCTGCGATTTATGGCGATAGTTTAGCAATGCATTAAAAAGAGGTAAAGATGATGGCACTCCACAACAACGTTGCGCTAACGCCAGTGATGCATATTCGTGAGATAGTAAAGCACTCAAACGCGAATGAGCCTTGCGTACAGCGTTTTCGACTGTGGTATCATCGATATCCAGCCGCAACGGTAGCGTGTTGATCAACATACCCATAACATTCTCGTTTCCTTCTCCAGATTGGAGACGACCAAGTAGCACAGTACCGAATACCACTGTTTCATTTCCGCTAGCACGGGCAAGTACCTGTGCCCAGGCCAAATGACAAAGACTGGCAAGACTGACATGGAAATGACGTGCAAGGTCTCGTAATTTATTACTGAGTTCCTGTGGCAGCTTCAGTTGTTCATGATCGAACCTAGTTCCACCGCCATGAACGTCGATCAAACCAAACGGTAGGGTTGGTGTATCAAAATCGCTTAGCATTTCTCTAAAAAAGTGCGTGTGTTCGGCTTGACTTACTCCAAGACGAGCTTGAGCCACTAGATGCCGGAATGGTGTGGGTGTTGCTAACTGTTTAATATGCCCTTCAATAATCATATGCACTTCTGCATTTAGTTTCTGCATAGTAACGTAGTCACCAATTATATGGTGCATCAATTGTAATACAATCCAGTTCCCTTCACACGTTGGTGCAGCTTTCAGACGCAATAGCGGTGCACGTTTGAAATTCATTCGGTAGTGACTAGAATTGTAGCGATGTGTAAGCTGATCTAGTACTGAGTTGGTATCATCCAGCGTGACTTCGGTGAGCAAGAACGGAACATGGCGCAAGACGACTTGTGCCGGTTCACTGAGTCCTTCCCAGATGAAGGCGGTACGCAGAATATCATGTCGTTCAATCACCTGTTGCAGCGCGATTGCGTAGTTATGAAGTGTCGCGCGATCACTAAATTGTAAATGATTTATTACTAAGTACGGATCACCTTGTTCGGACATCAAATGATGAAATAATATGCCTTGCTGCAATGGTGCCAATCCATAAATATCTTGAATATTGATTAATCCACCAGGCACTTGTTCGACCAGAACATCAATTTCTCTTTGAGACAAATCGATAAGCGGCAACATTTCTGGAGTAATAGCTGTACTTTCGACGGTTATCAGATTGGGTGGAGTATTGACCACCATATGGTGGCTCAGAGCCCCAGCTAATACAGCTAATGAGGGTGCATCAAATACTTTCCGAACGTTGGTATCCAGTCCGATTTGTCGCAATTGTGATAGCATCTTTACGATTAAAAGAGAATGCCCGCCCAACGCAAAGAAATTGTCATTTCGGCTGATTCGTTCAATACCCAACAGTTCACTCCAGATTACAGCCAGTTTTTCTTCCATCGTGCCCTGCGGTTCTTCATATAGTTGACGAGCAATTGCTTCGTCGTCCGGTGCTGGAAGTGCATGTCGATTTAGCTTGCCATTTGGTGTGAGTGGTAAAGACGATAGACAAACATAAGCCGCCGGTACCATATAGTCAGGCAATAGTGATGCTAGATATGTGCGTAGATTGTTAGCAAGTGATGCATCAGTATCGGCTATTACATATGCAACCAGACGGGTATCACTATCGGATGTGTCCTTCCATGGTTGTACAACTGCTTCGCGTACCAAAGGATGTTCCACTAAACGGGCCTCAATTTCGCCGGGCTCAATACGGAAACCACGGATTTTAACCTGTTGATCAGTACGTCCCAGATATACGAGATTTCCATCTGGCAGATAGCGTGCCAGATCACCAGTGCGATACATGAATGCTGTTGGATTCACACTGAATGGATCGGACAAAAAGCGTTCTGCCGTAAGTTCGGGTCGTTTTAGATAGCCTCTGGTCACACCAGCGCCACCTATATAAAGTTCTCCTTCGGCACCCAGTGGCACCG